CATAAACCCCTTCATCCATTACCTAGTGCAGCTACAGTTCCTCTTGTGGTGTATGAGCTTCCCACTCTTTGCTATGGGAGACAGGGTAGTGCTATTCAGTTGTAAAATTAACTTATAAAATTGTGAACGTAAAATAACAAGCTGCTATTCTCTGGAAGGCTGTAACCAAGCAGAAGATGAATATCTGACATGCAACAAGTTTCTGCCCTCCGTTTTCTGCTCTTCCAAGAAGGAACCATGATTCATGTTTTCCCAAATTAGATGCCTCAGTCATGCTGATCTTTCTGCTTCCTGAAGGAATGGATTTCATTAGTAATCCTGTAGAAAGCCATGAGTTGCTTTATGAGAAGAAAATAGAAGTTAATGTCCTCTTTGGAATATTTTGCCCCTCCTCCCCTTCTCTACTCTGACAACTCCAGGAACGGATTTCCCATTGTTGCTTTTGGGGTTTGTCAACATCCATCAATGACATGTCAACCCCAAATCATAAATAATACAACCCACAATGGTGGAATGGGGTTGACAGGAGACCACATGGATGTTCTCAGACAGCAGTAGATTTGTGGTGAAGAATGTTCTTCAAGACCAGCTATAGCCTGGTCTTCTAGAACCAGGGATGTTCAACCGTGACAACTTGAAGACTTGTGGACTTCGACTCCCAGGATTCTATGCGGCCTGAGGAATTCTGGGAGTTGAAGTCCACAATTCCCAGAATTCCTCAGAGTTCTGTTCTAGAAGGAGAATCCTTTTATTTAATTGAATCAATTCAGCTGTTCTGCTGGACCCTATTTTGAATGGGCTCTTCTAGAACCTCCTGACATTGTTGTTTTAATTTTATTAGCCCACTACAGAGTTCCTTGACTAGTTTTGAGTTAGCATGAATTAGGAGTCCCAAAGGGGCTTTTTTTCAAGAGGCACCTGGATTTTCTGGTTTTTCTTTAAAGACGTTTCGCTTCTCATCCAAGAAGGTGGAAGAGAGTGGAAGGAGCTTCTTGGATGAGAAGTGAAACGTCTCCAAAGAAAAAAAAACAGAAAGTCCAGGTGCCTCTTGAAAAAGCCCTTTTGGGACTCCTAATTCATGCTAAGCTGTTTACAGAGTCAGCCTCTTGCCCACAATAATCTGGGTCCTCATCTTACTGATGAAGAAGAATGGAAGGCTGAGCCACCTTGAGCCGGTCAGGATCGAACTCCTGGCAATGATAGATCTATCATCTGTCTGTCTGTCTGCCTACGGTATCTATCTATCTATCTATCTATCTATCTATCTATCTATCTATCTATCTATCTATCTATCTATCTATCTATCT